CTAAGGGGGGAAGCAGCAGGCTAGCAAGAGGGTCACTCACCTCATTGCTGAGATGCTTGCTCTAGACAGGCGTCCCTTCTCCATGATGGAAGACATTGGTTTCCACAGGCTGCTCCAGGATGCCTATCCCTGGTACACGCCCGCTGCTTGCACCACACTGAGCAGGACCGTGATGCCCTCATTGTACAGGGCTGCCAGGGACCACATGAAAGCACAGCTGTCCTGCGCTCGTGGGAGATGTGTGCACTTCATGTCCGACATCCAATTTGTACCTTTCTTTGACTGCGCACTGGTGGCAACCAAGTGACGTTTTGGGTGGGGGAGAGGGAACTAGTATCAGGCGGGGTCAGGGCCGCTGGGCCGGCTACTGCCAGGCTCTGCTCCACATTGAGAAACTCGATGGGTTGCACACGGCAGACAACATCAAGGCCACCATCGACAGACAGCGGGGTGGGTAGGCAGGGGCATCACCAGGGGCTTCATGGTGACCGATGGTGGCTTGAACATTAGGGCAGCGACAAAGCGACTGGGCCTGATGTGCATTTACTGTGCGGCCTACCTTCACCTCTTGGTCAAGGATGCTATGGGGTTGGGTTCTGCAGAGAATCCCAATCCGGACGCTGCGACTTGTGACTTCCGGCATCTCCTCCAGAAATGCCGGTACAGTGTGAGTCACTTCTCTCGCTGTACGAAGGACATCTATCTGCTGTGCGAGAAGCAAGTGCTGACAGGCATGCCAGAGCACCACCTGTTGGGCGACATCACTACTCACTGTAACTCCACCTGTGTCATGCTTGAGTGCTTGGTGGAGCAGGAGAGCACCCTGACTGCCCTGATCTCTGAGAGCGGGGTCATTCGGGAAGAGAGCCGGCTCATCCGGGAGGACTGGTTGACCATCTCTCAGACTGTGATAGTTCTTAGGCCCTTTAAGAGCTACACAGAAATGCTCTCGTCTGACATGGCAAGTCTGGCTCTGGTTGTTCCCATGGTCCACATGGTCCATGAGAACTTGGCCTCATTTCTGGAGCCATCTGCAGGGCGTGCAGACATGGTTCCAGCGGTGTGCATGCTGGTGAGAAGGCTGCAAAGTGGACTCGAGGAATGCTTTCAGTCTGTCCTCTGGCAGAAGGTCTACATGATGGCGACCATGTGTGACCCGTGCATCAAGGGCAGGATTGCTGAGTGGGCCAACAAGTTCACTCAGTGGCGAGATGAGCTCTCCCGGCGAGTTGAACGCATGTGGGCCAAGAGGGTCACGTTGCCTCAAGCTGAGGGAGAGGGGGGTGCCAGCAGCTCCACTGCTGTTCATCCCCCATCTCCCCTGCTAGGCAGTGCCCCCCCCCCCCACAGCCCCCGCCGGCTGGGCCTGGCCCCCCCCCCCCACAGCTCCTGTCGTGATGACTGTTGAGATGGCAGTCATTGGGGGGATCTTTGGTCCCTCTCCTGGGAGTGGCAGGCGCACAAGAGAGGACACAGTGGCTGCGATGGTGAGGGAGTACCTTGCGGAGCCCTACGAGTCGCAGACAACCTGTCCACTGAGCTACTGGGCCATGAAGGAGGCGGTCTGGCTGGACCTCTCTGTTGTGGCCCTGAAGCTCCTCTCATGCCCTCCGATGAGCGTGCAGAGTGAGCACGTTTTTTCCCATGCGGGCGACATTGTCTGCTTGCATCACTCACGCCTGCTCCCCTTGTCAGTTGAGCAGTTGGTCTTCCTGAAGGTCAACTTGCCACTTTTCGGTTTCCCGGTCCTAGACTTTGTGGTGATTGAAGTGAACACACATACTTGTGCCTGCAATCCCCTCAGTCTGTGCTGGGAAGTTTGGTTACAACGGTAGGGAGGCTAGGGAGAAGTAGCAGCCAAGGCCATTACCATTTTGATTGGCACAGAAATGCCCCACCTATCTCCCCACTTCCATCCATCCCACTTGCAGCAGAAATACCTCCACAGAATCCTGGTAGCCGTGCAGAGCAGGGTGATGTTGAGGGTGGTACATGTATGCACCTGAGTTACACTACCAGCCACCCCAAAACAAAATTGCATGCTGAAATTGAAACAGCATCACAAAAATTGTTCTCCATTTGAACGAGGTAGGGTAGGGTAGATCCCAAGCAGCCAGAAGCCAGCAGAACCCACAGGAGCTCCATTAATATTGAATGTAAATGCATGTTGTTTATTGAAAAATAATTTTCGTTTGCCAGGGTGAGGTGGAAAAGGGAGGGAGCCTGTGATGGGCAGCTGCCACGCCTAGGCTAAGCCTCCTCCACTGCGGCAGGCAATGATGGCTGGTGTTGGTGTACTGCTGCGAGAGAGGAGGATCAGTGGACAGATAGATACTACCTCCTCCCTCTCACTTTCTGAGGCATTAGTGGGTAGGGTTTCTTGTTGTGGTGATTACTAACTTGCACAGGTTCTGCCCCCTCAGGTTATGCTGCAGAGATTCTCCTATTTGACTTGAGTTCTGTTGGGTTTCTCCTGCCAATGTAGCAGTTCAAAAGCAAGAAATTGCAAGTAGATAAATAGGTACCACTTTGATGGGAAGTTGACAGCGTTTTGTGCACCTCGGCATCTAGTCATGCCAGCCACATGACCTCGGAAACGTCTTCGGATAGCGCTGGCTTTTTGGCTTGGAAACGGAGATGAGCACCACATCCCTAGAATCGGATTAGACTGGCTTTTGAGCAAGTGAAACCTTTACCTCTGATGGGTTTGGCACTGACTGGCACAGGTTCTGGGGGGCACATTGCACAGGTTCTGCTGCTGGCCTGGCTGGCAAACATGCTCCCTCAGTTTATGCTGCAGAGATTCTCCGATTTGACCTGAGTTCTGTTGGGTTAGGGCACTGACTGGCACAGTGGCACAGGTTCTGGGGGCTAAATTGCACTGGTTCTGCTGCTGCTGGCCTGGCAAACATGCTCCCTCAGTTTATGCTGCAGAGATTCTCCGATTTGACCTGAGTTCTGTTGGGTTAGGGCACTGACTGGCACAGTGGCACAGGTTCTGGGGGCTAAATTGCACTGGTTCTGCTGCTGCTGGCCTGGCAAACATGCTCCCTCAGTTTATGTTGCAGAGATCCTCTGATCTGACCTGAGTCCAGTTGGGTTTCGGCACTGACTGGCACAGTGGCACTGGTTCTGGGGGGGCACATTGCACAGGTTCTGCTGCTGGTCTGGCTGGCAAACATGCTGTGACAATTCCTTGTTTGAGAGAGTGTGTGTCCCTTTAAATGTTTGATAGTAACTAGTGTGCCATGATTGGTGGATAGCAGAGTGTGGGAGGAGTTATTCTGTGTGGATCTGTGTGGGTGTGTCAGTGAGAGATTGGAGAATGACAGTTGGAATAATGACAGTTATTCTTCCTCTGGACCACAATAGATCCCTGAAAAGCCTTGAGCCTGTGTTACCTTACCAATAAGAGAAACAGAAGGTTTGGAAATCCTTAAATTCCTGGTGGCAGCCGAATCTACCCAGTTTTACAGAAAGAGCACATTTAAAGAGAAATACAGTCCTCCCTAATAGGAGGTCGTCACACATGCTCCCTCAGTTTATGTTGCAGAGATCCTCTGATTTGACATGAGTTCTGTTGGCTTAGGGTACTGACTGGCACAGTGGCACAGGTTCTGGGGGCCACATTGCACTAGTTCTGCTGCTGCTGGCCTGGCAACCATGCCCCCACAGTTTATGCTGCAGAGATTCTCTTATTTGAACTGAGTCCAGTTGAGTTTGGGCACTGACTGGCACAGTGGCACTGGTTCTGGGGGGCACACTGCAGAGGTTCTGTTGCTGGCATGGCAAACATGCCCCCTCACACCACCACCACACCTTACTTACTTTCTTACAGAGAGATTCTTGGGGAGACACTGTCTGTTGCCTGCCTTTTCCCCATCCCCATAGGAAATAATGGAGAATTGGGGGCACCCTCTTGGGATGCCCTTGGAATTGGACCCCCTGGTCCAATCTTTTCAAAACTTTGGGGGTCTTTTGAGGAGAGGCTCCAGCAGCTACAGACCACATTTGGTGCCTCTACCTCAAACCCCCTCCCCCCAGCCCCCTGAAAACTTGTTAGGAGATTTGTGTCATTGACACCCCTAGTCATGACACAGTGGTTTGAGAGAATGGTGAAAAGGTCAACCCCCAAGGAAAGAGTCTAGTCAAAATGACAACAGAAGCCATGCAGCAGTTGAGAATCAATGAATGCCCTGCATGATACCTAATGAAGATTTGGTATAGAAATGCACCTTTTGTCTACAGTGTGCCCATCTCATAGTTAAAAACATTTCACTCACTCTAAGAGAGACAATATTTCATAGGAGGTGTCCCCCCCATACACCCCAAATTTTCCAACTTTTTATGTTGGAAACATCTGGGGGGGGGGAAGCTTCAGAGAAAAATGGGGGGACCCAACTTCCCCCCAATTTTTTAGTCCCCCTACTTCACATTTCTACTTATGGGTGGAAAGATGGAGCAGGGGGTACTACTTAAGATGCAAAGTTGGATGGGGAAATTATGTTGCCTAGCCAGCATCATACTTAATACTACTGAAGCTTTGCTGAAATCCATTTGCACTCAGATGTGCCAAACTAATTGCCTGGGTAATTCAGCTTGCTTTCACTTTGCCATTTTCTATGTAAAGAACATTTTTATAGCTATATTAGTCTAAGCAGTCCTTAATGGACTGGGAAAAAAGTTGAGTTTCTTCTCTGCTACCTGGAGTTTATTGTAAAAATAGAAAACAATATGTTCCCGTCTTGCTGTACTTGGATTGTTGTCTGATCCTTTATGATATCAGAATGTGTAGGCTGCTTTGTGTCCTGTAACCAAGCAGAAAAGTAGGGTATAAATGTTTTAAATAAATAAAAGCTTTCAAAAATAGATTAAGGAAGCAATGTAGGGGACATCAATATTTTATTTAATTGTATCTTATCCATAAATGTAAGGTTGAGATACTTGTAATTAAGGCTCTTATTCTGGTGAATGCTCACTTTCCACACACCCCACCTCAGGTCGTGCCCCAGCGCCAGGCTCTTACGATGTCAAATCTTCAGACACATCAAAAGGACCTGTGTCTTTTGATAAGTCTCAACGGTTTACAAAGCAGATGGGTAAGTCGTCCAAAAATGAAATACCAATGGCGCTGAGCACTGCTGAATTGGAAGCTGCTTGCCTGCTTGTTCTGTTCCCTTAAATGTTATCGGTGGGCTTGTGATTTGTGCATGCAAAACATTGTTTTTTGTCTTTCATTATGTTCTTGACCAGGTACAATGCATATTGTTTATCTATGAATTGTGAAGTCTTAGCCTTACTCAAGCTGGAGTCCTATGTAGAAGCAAACTGCATCTTTCTTCAGTGCCAACTAATTGTGTTCAGTCTGTCAGTGAGGCTTGTACTGACCATTTACTTAGAAGCAAGCTGCATCTTTCTTCAGTGCCAACTAATTGCGTTCAGTCTGTCAGTGAGGCTTGTACTGACATTCAGTGCAGTGCTAATTCTGTTCGTTGCTAACATTTGTTCAGTTGTGCCTTCACCATGTCTAATCATCAAGCTTCTATTATTAAACACTTTTGCTTTTTAATGCATACATCCTGCTTGGCTGTACCACATTCTGATTTTTGTGGAGGGGGAGACGTGTCATAAAGATCAGCAGGGAGATGTTGCATGGGATAACTGTCTGAAGCAATATTTACTGACAAGTGGTTATTCCAATTTACTTCTCATAATATCTGGATAATACATCTCTCTGCAATTGAAAGTTGGCTGGCCTGTTGGTGAGGAACAATGTTCCTTGTGTTATCTGTCTACAGAGAACAAGAAACAATGTTAGAAGATTAATGTCTCAGTAAAGATTAAGTTTATCATAATTAAAAACGGAAATAGAAATATTTAGCAATCCTCCAGAATGAAGTGTAAACTGTGCCACAGTCTTCCAGTATGCTCTGACATATTTCCTTTAGAAGGAAAAAAAAGTCAGTGGCAATACTCTTAGCCTGCTTGAAATAATTAAAGCAGACTGTGACATCTAATGTACTCACTGCCATGCAGCTTATGCACTTTTGTCACAAGTTGGATTGCATCCACCTATAGAAGACTGAGGCTTTTTTAAAATCATTTTTTCAAATTTACACAGTGCATAAACTTTGTACTGCAACTGCAAGTCAGTGAATCCTAATCTATAAAACTCATTTCAGAGAAATCTTGATTTTCTTAACAGGAGACACAGGATCTTGGCAGAATCCCAGTAATATGAAACCTCCACCTTCTCCAGCATCTGCAAGAAAAATGCAGTCTCTTGATTCAAAGGTAAGATAATTACTTGAATATTTATTTATTTTATTTATTGTTTATATTTATATCCCGCCTTTTCAGATATCTGGCTCAAGGTTCATACTAGAGTATTTAAAATGCACACAAATATAAAATGACATATTTAATAACCAAATATCAAGCTAGCAAAGACTGGAACAGAGATCTAGTTCTCCCTAGAAATGGCTTTTTATGGCAGAATAACACTGAATACTGTAACGATTCCTTGTTTCTCTGTGTGTATGTCTCTTTAAAAGTTTGGCTGCATGGCTGTGGTGGATAGACTAGAGTGGTTGAAAGAGGCAAGTGTGGTATGATTGGTGGTTGACAGAGATGGGGAGGAGCTTTGGAAGTGAATCTGGTTGGATGAGTATGGGAGTCAGTAGTTTCAGTTAGATGTTGACAGTTGATGTTCAGTTAGTTAGTTAGACAAGCAGTTCTGTGTGGAAGCAGTTATAAACTGACAGCAGCGGTTGTTCAGTGAGACAGAGAGAGAAATCTAAAAGCTGAATGTATAGGAAAAGTAAAGTTTAAGTGAAGAAAAGTTATAGGAAAGTCTGTGTGTCATTACAGACTGGAGTGGAACAGTAAACGTATATGGCATTGAGATAAACAAGTGTTACAAAGTTACATGCAAAGATCCCTGTCAGAGAGAGAGAGAAGATTGTGTGGGATACCAAAGAAATTGTTCAGTATTTACACATTACTAGTTACATTGTACTACCCTCTTATTCATGCTTTATTTTAAATCCTCTTTCATTCAAGTATACCAGCTCTGAAAGAAATGCTTCCCAGGACCATGTAGTTCCTCGTAAGCCTTGAACTCGGTCTACCTAACCAGTAAGAGTAAAAGTAAAAGCATAAAGGTTTGGAAATCCTTAAAATTTCCTGGTGGCAGCCGTATATACCCAGTAAAAGAAAATAAAGAACACTTTTAAAGTGAAACTAGTCCTCCCCAATAAGGAGGATGTCACAAATACTATCCAAGTTTACAAGTGAAGCTGGGAAGACCAACTTGAGTACAGTTTAATTGAGTTGCAATTGTTAGTGAGGTTTAAGAAACCCCTCAAATGATCTTAAAATTTTCAACTTGTTTAGTGAATTTTCACAAAACATGACATTTGTCCAAATACAACCCTGGGACTGCTTTCAAAAGGTGGGTTTGCTCCACCCTAGCTTTCAAATGGGAGTGTTTTTTGTTTTGTTTTGTTTTTTGTTGGAATATCAACGTTATGTCATTCTCCATCTTTGTTCTTCCTGTCTCCTTCAATGGTTTCCCAGGACTTGCTCTGATATTTCCAGAATTTAGATTGGTTTCTGCAAATATTGGTGTCAAAATGGGTTTCTCTACAAAGCAAGGGGGAAGGTCTGGATTTCCAAACTTCCCTGCCTGCATCTGTTGCTGTTTTCTCTCCCAGTCTAATTGCATGGCACCCACTATTCATCCCCCCAACACAGTAATAGTAGATGCATTGCTATAACACTTCAATGAGATACCTACTATTGATTTTTTTAAAGCCACCAAAATGTCCTCCAGCAGTATTGGGCACGGGGGAATGAGGGAATTGGGAGGAAATAATGTAGAATTGCCTATGTTGGGCACTGTTTCAGCTGCATGCCCAGTGGCATTCACAGTGGTAATGAGGCCACAATTGGGGAAATCACCCCCACTAGTCAGACTGTCATCAAAATGCACATTGGTCTTAATGCCACTGAATATTAATCTGTAAAACTCTTGATTTCCCCCATCCATGGAAATATGCTCAACCAAACATTCCATTTAGTCTTCTAAAGGATGCTAAATGTTAGAGAACTGTTCTCAGAAGAAGGGAAACAAGAATTCCAAGTATAATTTATACCATTTGTTTTAATGAATTGGGTTGGTCCCTTGATCAAATAGTACAATTTCTGTAAGTTCCAGCCTTGTACAGACAATATCCTTCTATCAAATATAACAGAGGAAATGTGGGAGGGTGTTTAAAAGGTATGAGCATTTGTACAATCTCTTTATGATAAAACTAAATATAAGCTTTATATTAGCACTATATATAAGCTTTATATAAGCTAAATATTAGCTTTGCAAAAGTATATAAAGCAAATTGCAAATGCTTTCTGTGCCTCTCTTAATATAAAGGCAACCAGCTCAGGGGTGAAGCCAGAAAAGGATTTGGCCCTCTTGAAAAATTTGAGAAAACAGAAGGAACTGGAAAAAGAGGTATGAGCACTGCATCTTTCTAAATTGCTTACTTAAAGTGGATTGCAGTTAGCTTAGCAGTATGTCCAGTGGGAGGAGCTGCGGTGGCTTAAATGGTTAAGACGCTGAACTGCAGGCTGTGGAAGGTCGGTTAGTTCAGCAGTTCGAGACCCGAGTGTGCCACAAGTCGGAGTGAGCTCCCGTCTCTAGTTCCAGCTCCTGCCAACCTAGCAGTTCGAAAGCAAGAAATTTCAAGTAGATAAATAGGTACCACTTCAGTGGGAAGGTAACAGCGTTCCATGCGCCTTGGTGCTTAGTCACGCTGGCCACATGACCACGGAAATGTCTTCGGACAGCGCTGGCTCTTCAGCTTTGAAACGGAGATGAGCACCGCAACCCTAGAGTCGGATTCGACTGGCTTTCGAGCAAGGGAACCTTTAAATGTCCAGTGGGACATCCAAAATGATTAGTTATATTAAAATTCTTCAGTGACAGGTCAGGGCTTACATGAAGCCAGCTATCATGCCTTTTGTTGGAGGCTACTACACTACTTTATGTGTAGTACTAAGGTACTAAAGGACAGATTTTTGGATACTGTGACTGTTCTTCCTCTGAAGGATGTCTCAGTCATGAGCTTTTTTTCTGGTTTAACTGACATAAATTAGATGATTGAATCCCTTCAACTTGCAACAGACTTACGGTTGCCCCTTATGGGGTTTTCAAGGCAAAAAATGAGTAGGGGTGGTTTGCCCTTGCCTTCCTCTGCATAGCAGCCCCAGTCTTCCTCCATGGTGTCCCATCCAAGTACTAGCTGTGGCCAGCCCTGCTAAGCTTCCAAAACGATGAGCCTGGGCTACTCTGAGTTATTCATGATGCTGCTTAAGTGACATAAGACACATACAGTTATCTATACACAACAGGCTTTATGTGAGTTGCCTTCCCACTCTCTACTTAGTTTTTTGTAATGAAGTTTGGTAACTAAAAAGCAAAATGGACTTTTGAACCAAGAATTTCTCAATGTAAGAGGAATCTACCCTGTATTTACATGGGAGTCTTAAAATAAAAATAGCAGTTAGGTCATCTGGCTCTCATTCAGATCTCTGTCATAAGTTCTACTTCACTTTGCAGCTTCACTCTGCTCAATAGAATAGGATTGTATCTTTGGACATGAGGACTTTTAGTGATTACTGCTATTCGCAGCTAAATGAATAGCTGAGTAGATGAATGGGTACCTGCCCTTAGGTGGCAGGGGGCACCCTCCCCGTACGGGTGTGTGTGGCAGGAGCAGTAGAAGCGACAGCAGTGGCGGCGGTGATGGTGGAAACGGTGGCGATGGAGTGGCGGAGCGAAGGCAAGCGGAGCGATGGAGGTGGAGACAGAGGCGGAGCCACAGAAGGACGTGGTGACATGACGCAAGCGCAGTGGAGCCATACGGACGTTAGCTGGGCTGTAAGTCGATACGACCCACATACCAGATGGGCCCACCGAAAGAAAGAAAGAAGAAGCCGCCGGACCGGACGACCACACCAGGAACCGAGCACTGACACCCGAAAGACCGCCCGGGGAGAACAACCAAGAAAAAACAGCAAGCCCTGCCACCTGGGTGCCGGTAGGCAGCCCCAACCCCGTAGACATGTGGCCTTAGCTAGGGATAAATTCGGAACTTGTAAGCCGCTCAGAGACCCTTCGGGGTTGGAGCGGGGTAGAAATCGAAGATATAAATAAATAAATATAACTAAATAAGAACTGAGAAATGGAATTCATCTGCTTTTGTTATTTATGGTAGGAGCAAACACTGACGCACAGTTAGGTCCTAACAGAATGACTAGTGGAACTTTCCTTCTGTAATACTGATATCACAATTGCTTGCATGTTAATATAGATCCGTGCACTTGTTGGAGAATCTGGACAGCAGGATAAAAAAATACAAACTCTGGAGGAAGAAGTTGCAAAATTGGAATCAAAGCTGTCTGCTGCCATTAGGGAGAAAACCTCTTTCATAGCAACTGTTGCTTCTATGGAAAAGCAGCTTCTGGAGTTGACCAGGACCAATGAATTGTTAAAAACAAAGGTACACATAACTATGGTTCGGCCTGTTTTTTTTAAGGAAGGCATGAAAGTATGTCTGACTGTACATGACTTGGCTGAGAGAAATAGCACGCACAAACCTGGTGCTATTTTAACTTTGACGATAAAAGCTAGCTGCATTTCTTACTCTCTTTTTCATGCTCCACTCCTGATTGAGGATTTTTAATTATTGGATGTTACTGTCTCTTATGCTGAAATATTGGTCTGGATTTTTTGGGGGGAGGGGATTACAGTGCACAGGCAGGCACAATATGGCATAACTATTTCCTAATTTCAGACAAATATACGCTCAAGGATGATATCTGCTTACCTGTAGCAGTGTTTCAAGTGAGACTTTTATATACCCAGAAGCTTCCCTTTGTTCAGGCACTAGTCTGAGCTGTCATCTGCTTGTGCCTACAGTACACTTCTAAGCCTCACTGGTCTCCCTGAAAAGTGAACCATGTGCTAAAATATCTCTAAGTGAAGTCCATCATATGTCAAGGTCATGTCCTGTGGCTTTTAAAATACTGTGCCCACCTGTATGGTTTTTGAAGTTCTTGGGGATATATAAATGTGAATATAATTTCATCTTTCTTTCCACCCCCAAATGTAAGTTCTCTGAAGATGGGACACTGAAGAAAATGAACAATTTGTGTGCAGAGTTAATGAAGCTCGGGAATCGGATGCACACGAAAAAGGTCAGTTACAGTACTGTGATTGGAACAGTTGTCTGCCATAGTTTAAATAGCCTGCATTTTAAGCTGCTTGGTAGATACTTTGAGTCTTGGATATCTTAGAAATTGCCCCTTCAACACACACACACAGTGTGTATCAATGAGTGTATGCTTGCGACCCTATGAATTAATTATCTCTAAAACCTTCAATCATTAACAACCTTGGTCAGGTTTTGCAAAATGAGGGTTGTGGCTTCCTTTATTGAATCAATCCATCTCATGTTAGGTTTTCCTCTTTTCCTGCTGCTTTCAACTTTTCCAGTGACATTTGTCTTCTCATAATGTGACCAAAATACAATAGTCTCAGTGTAGTCATTGTAGCTTCTAGGGAGAGTTCAGGCTTAATTTGACCTAGAAGCTATGTATTTGTCTTTTTTTTATGGTCCATGGTATTCGTAAAATTCATCTCCAATACCTCATTTCAAATGAATTAGCTGTTTTCCTGTCAGCTTTCTTCAATGTATCAATGAGGCAGAGTTTGAAATGACTAATATATCAATTTGAACTTCAGTAGTTCAAGTAGTGGAGGATGTGGTGGAACCTCTGACTTCCTTATTGCTAGACATCTTACTGGCAAAACTAAGGCTGTAATCATGACAATACGTCGTACAAGTAAGCCACTTTGAATAAAATGAGACTTACTTCTGAACAGACATGCTTAGGATTCGTCCTTAAGTTGGGTAAAAGAAAGAATTGGTAGTCTGAGGTCCCGGTCACACGGGCCGGAAAATGCGGGGGGGGAAGCGTGGCTGTTAGCCCCGGAGCAAAGTAACGCGCGGCAGCCCAATCACATGTCCCATCGAGGTCCCGTGGTTAGGCCGTTAGGTGCTGATCACATGGCTATCCTGCAATGCGGCAAAGAAGCGGCGCGGCACGATCACACTGGCAATCGCTAGGCATCGCTTCCGTGGCAAACGGGATTTTTTTTTCTCGCCGAAGTTTGCGCATATTTGTGTGCATCCTGTGGAGACTTACAAAAAAACATCTGGTTTGCGACGGGACTTGGACGAGTGCCGGATGCCACGGGATTCACGCAGAAACACGATCAGACGCCCGCCCTTGCCCCGCGTTTTCTGGAAACTAGTACCTCGTATGTGGTAGTTTTTTTTCCTCCGCATCTTCAGCGAGAAGCCACGGGTTAGCCACGGGAGCACTACACCTCCCAGATATTCCGGTGTGATCGCGCCAGAAAACTCTGCGTGAGAATCGTGCCTTCAGCATGGCAAATGCTCCGTGTGACTGGGGCCTAGCTAATACTGATTTTAGTGGGTATGTTGTGAATTAATTAACTGTTCATAACCTCAGTTTTATGGATTTAAAATGTTTTAGACTGTATCTTATTTTATACAATTTTCTATGTTTTATTGCGTTCTTCTCTGTTTGTGGTTTGTAATGGCCTATGGCTAAATACAATAAAAACCTTCTCTCTGATGTGTGACTGGTGCCTGAATGTGCTATAATGTCTTTTATCTGGGTTCTTAGGCAGTTTTCTCTAAGCAAGAAGATATGAAAATGAAACTGCGGACTGACCAAAGAACCTTAGTGCATTCAAATGAAAAAGTACCACAACTGGAAGAACAGCTGTAAGTTAATGCTTGAAATGTCAAACGTTAATATTGCCATTTATTTGACAATAATAAAGGTGCACAGCAGCTTATGAGATCTCAAACAGGCAGTGTAGGCATCTGTTTTGCTGAATGATAGGCTGTCATTCCTATGTTACTTGAAATGACTATAGACATTCCTATGTTACTTGAAATGACTATAGAGTACAGACACGGGTACATGTGTGTCTTGGTGCAGTAGTAATATATATTATGGTAAGTCAGAAGAAAAAGAAGAAAAAAGAATATTAGCTACCATTTCCTGACTATTCGGGGTGGATTGGCCATTAAAGCCTGATGGCCTGGGAGGGCTGCCACCTCAACTGCAAGTGAGGGGTGGTCCCAAGCAGACTGAACAGTTGCAAGCAAACTGGCTGCATGTGCCCTGGGCCAGAACAAGTAAGCCAGCTCACAGTAACGGAAGAGCCACCTTTTGCTTCTACCACCCCCTCCCATTCATTAGGGGGTGACACTCTTTTCAGGATGCTTTTTACTGCCCAGCTCGCCCCTGCTGCAAAGCTTCAAACAGAATGAACAGGTCCAAGCTTTCCTACACTGTATGTATGAACTTTGATCTGTTACTAGACATCCTATTACTAAATGTTACTAGGTGCTCCATTTCTTGCTGCTTTGAACATATAATCAGTTTGAGAATGTTCTTGGTGTAAAGTGGGAGGCTGTCTTCCTATTGCACTTAAAGAAGTTCAGCTCTCCCAGAATCTCATTGATCAGTGCATTAAGATCTGTAGCTTAACTGGAATGAGATGATGTCCTTTTCTTCCGTAGTTCTTTAAATACCATCTGTTTTAAATTGAGCCTCTGCAAGGAGAAAACAGAAAAGTTGATAACCTCCCACACACACACACACACACACACACACACACACACACACACACACTGACTGCCCTTGGATTGCCTTTGTTGCCTGCCAAGGCAATAATACAGGCAGTAACCTGTGTAGCTGAGCCTTGTATTAATCCAACCAGTGTCTGTGTGCTCCTCCTTGCTCTGATGTTGTGCAACGTTATGATACCAAGTTGGTAAGCTGGTACATTTTATAGAATGATGCCTTAACTGACTCCAGTTAGGAAATATGCACTTCAAGGGGTTAATCACATGTAAAGGGAGTGGTGGCGCAGGCGGTTAAACGCCTGCTGTAACAACACTGAACAGCCACTAAGGCTGTTCGAAACCCACCGCGGCTGGGGTGAGCTCCCGGCCCTAGTCCCAGCTCCCGTCCACCCAGCAGTTCGAAAGCGCAATAAGCATAATGCGAGTAGATAAATTAGGTACCTGCCCTAGGTGGCAGGGGGCACCCTCCTCCCCTCGTGGGGTGTGCAGCGGCGGCACAACGGAGCAGTAGGCGAGCAAAAGCGGTGGAGCAGCGGAGCGATCGGCGGGGCAGCCTGGCGACCTGGTGACGTCGAGCAACGAAGACTGGGGGGAGGCAGAGTCGTGGAGGTGTGGGGGTCTGACAGTGTGGCGCGGCGGAGCCAGCAGGACATAGCCAGAGCTGTGGCTGGCGCGTGGCCGTGCCCCAGTATAAAAGCCCGCCAGAGGAAGTCGCTGGAAGCAAGACCCGTCCCAAGGCGCCAGGATGTAGACCGCCAAGAAAGAACACCTGAAGCTCGCTTGAAAGAGCCAACAAGAGCTGCCTGGGTGCTGGTAGGCAAAAACACTTCCCCAGTTAATGTGGCCCTAGGTAGGAAATTAGATCGTATGTAAACCGCTCAGAGACCCTTTGGGGTTCGAGCGGTATATAAACTGAAAGTAATAAATAAATAAATATAATGAATATCAGGTAAAAACTGATCACCTGGACCATAGCTTATAATAGCTTAGAATGGTTATCTATTGACTTTTTAGGTAATTTAGTAGAAGTGGCATTTATCAAATCTAAAGTAGTAAAGATGATTTTAAGGTAAAGTAAAAAATCAGCCAAACATGAAAAATCCCTTGTCTCCCAGTAATTTAAGTAGAAAAAGTAAGCCTGAGTTTTTGGAACAAACGAAAAATGGGAAATGTTAACAAAAGCTTTAGCTGTCTTTTCAACAGAATTACAACTTTTTACTCTGCTAATGCAATATGATAGACATGTACTAAGGCTTGTAAATTGTTTTTTCTTGTATTCTGGGGTGGCAGGAAGAGATTACATTATAACAGTGTGCATTTTTTCAGTGGCACTTTGGGTACATGTATTTTACAGTTGGATGCTTGTAGTGTGGCATTGGACAGCTTAATACATTATTTTTGTAATTAATGCTGTGTTCTCATTATTTTAGGATAGTAACTGAGATACACACTGAAGAGAAATATGATTCAGATAAACTTTTGGAATATGTTGCAGAACTGAGGTAAGTCCAGTCTCTGTAGTTTGAGACCAAATCTTCTCTGGCTTTTTTCTTCCAGACTCTTGTTAGTAGTAATATATCCTTGAGAGTAGGTATACCTGATTATGCATGTGTGCATTTGTTCAACCTAAATGTAGTCATCTAAAAGGTGTATTTTTAAGCCACAATTTGCATATATAATAGATACACTGCTAACTCCCAGAATGTAGGGTTGCCAACCTTGAGGTGGGAGCTGGTGAGCTTCCAGAATTACAACTGATCTCCAGACTGCAAATATCAGTTCCCGGGATGAAACAGCAGCTTCAGAGGGTGGCCTCTATGTCATCACATCCCTCCTGAGCTCCTTCATCAGGCACTGCCCGCAATTCTCCAGGAATTTCTCAAGGAGGAACTACAACCCTAATTGATATCTCAGATTTCACCACTGGAAGGAGAAGAGTTCCATCTGCGATTTATAATGTCTATTGGAGCTGGAATGGAGGGGGGGGGAATTTGAGACTTTTGAGACTTTGAATTTGTATCTGTGCATTACAGAAGTGGTATGAGACAGCTGTCTCTGTTCTGTCTTAAGTTAACATTGGTAGTGTGAGGAGGGGAGGGCAAAGCTGATCAAAAGGCAAAATGTGATCAAAAGGCAATGTTCTCCACCAAAGATTCTACTGTCGGTCTTAAAAAAAAAAAAAAGGTAAAAAAGGTAAAGACTGTGACCAAAGGCTTAATGTGCAGAAATGGGGTTCTCCTCTCCTCTATTTTGACAATTTTATGCTATTAGAGGCGGCTGTAAAGTTATGGCAGATACAGGGTACTCTCCAATCTGGACACTTTGGGAACAAACATATTTATTTATTAGTTTGATTTATATCCTGGCTGTAAAGTTATGTCAGATACAGGGTACTCAGGGTGGGTTACATAAAATGCATATATATACAATTAAAACACACATAAATCATCCATAGACAATCAGTATCCATTTTCAAAAGTGCCAGAATAATCAACGTGCAGAGCAGAGATTCCTAAATCCAACCGTACCACTACTTAGGGTGATAGTCCTGGTGGAATTCTCAAATCAGCTCAATTTGATCGAATAATTATGTGGTGGGATAGACTGAGGGTGGTTAAAACCAGGGCAAAGGGTCACTCCTCGGTGTTTTAGGTGGCTGGTGGAAGAGCTCTGTCTTACAGGCACTATAGAAAGCCTGGTGGAAGAGCTCTGTCTTACAGGCTCTATAGAACTGTAAAAGGTCCCACAATGCTCTGATATCCTCCAGGAGCTCATTCCACCAGTACGGAGCAGCTTCCGGATTTGGGACAAGGGCAGCCCCATATAGAGAGCATTACAGTCATCCAATCTCGAGGTGACCATCGCATGGATCACTGTTGCCAAGTTGTTGCGTTCGAGGAAGGGAACCAACTGCCTGATCAGCCGAAGATGGTAAAAGGCTGACTTGGCAGTGGCTGCTACCTGGGCCTCCATTGTTAAAGAGGCATCTAGGAGCACTCCCAAACTCCCGACGCTGGAACCAACTGCACCCCATTGAAGGTAGGGAGTGGGATCCCTACCCTTGGGCCACCCTGGCTCAGGCACAGGACCTCCGTCTTCGTCGGATTCAGTTCCAGTTGATAAAGTCAGAAACAGTTTCAGTCAATAAAGTCAGATAAACTTGATAAAGATGAGATTTCTGGGGGACTTAAAGGCATCCTATCCAACTCTGCCCTTAATGGGTACAGTCACTACACATAGCTAGAGGCTCATTTGTCAGCTAGCTGCCATGCTTTCTTTGTTTTCTTTCATCCCTGCCTATTGCGCAGCCGCACATGCTTGCTTTGCTTAGCTACCGTGGGTAACATAAGGGAGGCGCTCTTTCCCCTGTGCGAACTGGTTCAACCAGACAGCGTTATCAGTATAACCTTGAAGGGAAGGGAGGGCTTGGATTCCACTATGGGTGTGAATATTTCTACTCTCAAGGGATTGGAGTGAGTCTCCCGTTCATGATGTAATATCCCGCCGGGAGAATTCCCGCGCACGTGCTTGGATTTCATTTGCTCAGCTAGATGTTGCATCAGAGTGTATCTATGGAGCCCCTTGCACTAATCGTTACTCCTAACAATGTATCTGTACCACTTGGGAACAGACCAGTATTCCAATAAAACATAGCCTTTTCAGGAGAGTGTATTTGGACCTGCTTGCTGTTGACCCTGTTAGAAATTTTGGTGGCTCTTTGATGTGTGCACTTTTAGCATCCTGCCCACTAGAGCCAAGCAAGGTCAAGCCTTGTGGAAGCCCATCATAGCTGTGTGCAAAAAAATCTTCTGGTACTGACTGCTGAATTTGCAGAACAAAATATGTATATGTGGAAATTCAAGATTAGATAATAGCCTATGAAAGCTCATGATCTATACATTAAACATTGGTCTGAATAGTGCAACTAGACTATCTTAGTGAGATTTTCAGTGATGTTTTGGGCCCTGAGGATTCTTGATTCTCAGTCCCTTAGGTGTAATGTCCAGGTGTTCACATACCTAAGGTATTGGGCCCAGTTAGCACTGTGAATAGTTAGAAATTTTGGTGGCTCTTTGATGTGCACACTTTTAGCATCCTGCCCACTAAAGAAAAGCAAAGTCAAGCCTTGTGGAAGCCCAGCATAGCTGTGTGCAAAAAAATCTTCTGCTACTGACTGCTGAATTTGCAGAACAAAATATGTATATGTGGAAATTCAAGATTAGATAATAGCATATGAAAGCTCATGATCTATACATTAAACATTGGTCTGAATAGTGCAACTAGACTATCTTAGTGAGATTTTCAGTGATGTTTTGGGCCCTGAGGATTCTTGATTCTCAGTCCCTTAGGTGTAATGTCCAGGTGTTCACATACCTAAGGTATTGGGCCCAGTTAGCACTGTGAATCTCAGTATCTGGATTTTTATGTCTCACAGGTTTAGGGAAAGTTTCTTTAAAGAGACAATTAGAATTCAGCATGTGCTCAAAATGCATCAGTATGCTATCTGTAATAAAAACACTGGTAGCTTTGTCGCAGCTTCTTTGCTGGAAACAGCAACAAATAGGATTGGTGATAGCTGCAGGTTTCGTCCTTGTGTCTCAATGACAAAGGCAGGCTGTAATGAAATAAAAGCAGAGAGCTGCATACTTTTGCTTCTCTCCTGTGGTTGAAACCTTCTGTAGTTTCTACAGGAGTTGGTAGTTCAGGACAGCGCTTTCTGTTTTGAATGGTTCTCTACAGCTTGTATATTGGGTTGTGAATCTGACTGCCAGTTCCTTGTTTGATCAGACTTTTAGCTAGTTTCAAGGAATAACTTGCCAGATGTGATCTGAGGATTCTCTCCACAACAGCAAATGAAAAAGCTGCAGCAGCTTTACATGAAGGTCTTTCATCAGCTGTTCTGTTGTGGCCACACAGTGACTTCTTCCAAAGTAGTTTTGGAGGAGACATTCAGTTTCAAAGATGGAGGGAAAATAGGGCTTGACATGTGTTTTCAAATTGATGAAGTAAAATATACTGATTTCTATTGGCCCTAGGAAAAAGGTCTTAATATTTAACACTGGTGTCTCTATATCTAATAGTATCACTTAAACTTGAATGATGAAACCAGCACATGTATGTTTGTCCTTCTCAGCAATGCTGCAGAGCTAGTAGATAAATACAAGCTGGACATTGCCCGTTTAGAGGAAGTCATAGAAGCAAAGAATACGGAAATTGAAACATTGCAGACTTCACTTCAATATACAGAAACTACGCTGTCTACACAAATTAAAGAGCTGTATGAAAAATGCAAGATGTTTGAACAGCAAAAAGGTGACTCAGAAATACTTTGGATATTGCTTGGGTCTTTAAAGTAGACTTCACATAATTCTCATTTGGATGGACCATTTCAGTTGAAGGGACACTTTCGCTCTTGATGTCAGGAGATAAAGCATTGCCTGTCTGAAGACATCTATGTTTCTATTGGGTTAAAATAAGAACTGATTCCACCAAGAGATGCCTCGTGTTGGGTAATTAGATCCTTGGAACCATCCTTTAAATAGTTCGGTGCTGGTTTGGATCTTGGCAGGAACACATTTTATAGGCTATTTATTGTGACCTTAACATAAATCAGTGCTGTGCTGTGGACTACATTTAATGTTTTTACTTGAAAACATAACCTGATGAGTTATTCAACCATGCCATCTTATTGTCAGGTAACTAGGTGTCTTATTTAGCTGAATTTCTAGCTTATATAATAGGTGGGAATAATAAGGATATCTTTGCTCTTGCATGTTTAAATATTGTTATGCTGGTAATTATTTTCATCCCCCCCCCCACGTTTATTTTTCATAATTTCAGTTTAGTTACAAACATTTCATTATCTTCTATTACACAAATTTTTAGAGTCAATGCATCAGGTTACATGTCTTACATCATCTATTAACTCCTTCCACTTTTATTTTTCTTATTCTATTTTTACATGTTTTATCCAGTTATAAACCCTGAACCATCTTTTGTTCTGTATTTTTTGGTCTTTATCCTGCAGTATTAAACTCAAGTTATCCATTTGTGCTAACTCAAGGAGTATAGTTATTAGATCCTCTTTCGAGGGAGTTTTATCCGTTTTCCAACTCTTAGCCACTAGTATTCTCGCAGCTGTTATGATATATACTAATAAATATACATCTTAACGTAGCCCTTCGGAATTATATTCAATAGATAAATTTCAGGTGCTAACACTACATCTAAATTTAATATTTCTAAAATAATAATATTGAATCTTCCAGTATTTTTGCATTTTACTGCAACTCCACCACATGTGGTAAAAGGTCCCCACATTAGATTTACATTTCCAACATTTATTGGATGTTTGTGAATAACATTTTGCAATTTTATCTGGGGACCAGTACCATCTATGGAACATTTTAGAGATATTTTTTTTATAGGCAATGGCTCTCATAAATTTTGCCATTTTCCGTATTGCATCCCATTGTTCAATTTCCAGTTCTTTTCCCATATCCTGCATCCAAGAAATCATAGCAGCTTTAATGTTTTCATCCAGTTCATAATCTTCTAATAAAAATCTATAAAGTCTTTGAATTAACTTATCGCTGGATGATAACCAAATCTTATCCAGTTGGGTATTGCTATCTTCAAAGCCTTTTAACTTATCTTTACCATACCTGTCTCGCAATAATGTACGCTCCCACCATGATAAATTAATTTGATATTCACGTGTCAATTTTTCTTCAGTTTTTAAGTCGTTATTTCTTTGTAATAATATGTTATAGTTAGCTTTTTTTATCTGCTGCCAAAAGCATGGGTTTTACAAATACTTCCAGCGGTGATACCCATCTCGGCGTTTTCCTGTAAAATCTCTCTATAACTTCAGTCCAGATTTTATTTAAAGCTCCCCTTAGTATATGTTGATTAAAAATCGAATGTACTTTCTCGTACCATATATACGAATGCCAACCCATATAAAGATCATGACCCTCTAACGCTAGTGTTCTTGTTATGCTGGTAATTATTTTCAGTCTGGTTTACTGCCTCTGAAATGGAGCCTGGGTTGACTTACAAGGTGATCATACTGTTAATCCTCACAGCAAATTAAAAAGCACTGGATTTATCAAGCCTATGAAGATTCAGAACACTTTATCTTTGCCACAAATACCTCTTACTTGTATTTAATCACCAGATCACTTCCTATGAAGAGATTATATATTCGGTCTCACTGTATTTTAAGCGATACTGAACCGAAGTGGGGGGTTGTGTGCACTAATATGCTCGAAAAGACACTTCTAGCAAAATTCTAAGTTATCTCTTTCTCAGATTTCTGTTGAAAGCAGACTAAAGCTTTGTACTGGGCATTTTCTTTACAAAACATATTGCTTTTACAATGGTCTCTTCCTCAGCTATTTGTTGCAGTAGAAAATGATAAAATCAGTAGCCCTTTTGATAAATATAAAATCTAATATTCTAGGAATAGTATCGGCTCTTATTTAAAGTTGCCTTGCGAGAAGCAATTCAGGTTTGGGAGCTACAGAGAAGCTTAAAATGGTAGTAGTACACTGCTTCCAAGCAGGGTGGTATTAAGTCTTATTGTGGAAGAACTTGGTGGGAATGCAGGCAGGGACTTTTTTTGCTATGTGTTATATTAGAGATAGAAACAATCCAGAAGTCTAAAAAAGGAGTGAATATCATGCAGCAGGTTGAAGACATCTAACAGCAGAGTTCAATTACTGATACATTGATATGCTTTGTATAATGAACATTTTTATTTTTAGAGGAACTCTTAATTGAATATAGAGAAAAGGAGCAAAGTTCAAATGCTGAAATCCAGTGCTTGAAAGAACGGTTGAATTTAGAAGAAGAGGAATGCCAGAAGCAAAAGAGTGCCTATAAGGTAACAGTTGGGAAATTAGACACTGAGGCCCAGTCTTTGTCTACAGATCATGAATAGCTGTAAGGAACACAAACTAGACATATATATCATGTTTTCTTAATTGTATCCATCTTCCAAATAGATCACTCAACAATATTCAAAGCATGACTGTTAGGATGTTAGGGTTGTTCTGATATCTCTGGTTACTGAACGAAGCCACCAGTTTTCCTTAGGTGATCTGCAGAGCAATCCTGAGCCATGCCCATGCTGTGGTGGCTGGCCACCGCGTGACTAGGGTGGCACTAGTTTATTCCCTAAGTGCATAATTTACACAGCAGCAAGCAAAGTTAGTGCATTTGCAATATTTTCTGTTCATAACCTAGGTAGCGTCTATAGCAACTGCTCTGCAGTGGTCAATGGAGGCGTTGTGTGGAGGCGGTGGCACTGTGATGAACAGAGCTGCCAGAATCATTCAAGCCATGTGGCATGGGGGTGGAGTCCAGCGTCTATCTCAGGCAGGGGGCAGAGGGGGGCGGGCCACTGTAGCTGCAGGAGTTGCGCTCATTTCCAGGAGCATACCTTCCACTCACTTAAAGGGGTCAACTCCTGTCAGCAGATCTGGGCACCTGATGGAAAGGGGTTCGAGCAGTCTGTTGCCAAGGGCACTCCCACACCACCCCTGCCAGTGGTGGAGCAAGAGAGGGGGCCACTGGGGTGGCCTGAGATGTGGGGGGCATGCAGCACCACCCTTAGATGCCCCAATTCCCTCCTCAATGGAGCAGAGGTGGTCTTGGACTGGAGTGACCACCATTCCACCCTGGCTGCTGTCATTCCTGAAGCAATCATTGTCCAGAGACTGTCAAGCCAAACCCATTCTGCATTCATCATGACTTCTATGTGTAGTGATGTAGATGTGATGTTTTGTGATGGAAGCCCTACAAGCCACGTATCATTCCTACATGCCAGTATATCCAATGCGCACCCCCCCCAGCCTCATTCCCCTCCAAAAACATGCAGCCTGCTGCATTGGCTCCCCCTGCCACTGACTCTGAGAACCGCCATGGTCCCCTGCCCCTATAGTGTCACCTTCAGAGATGTCTTTCCTCCTGGGTGACAGAAGCCCCCCCATTCCTGGAGCAGACACAGTAATGAATCTTGTTTGAGCACTTCCCTCTCAAGAGGGTTACATCATTCCCCTCTCATCCGCTTCATGCTCACAACAACCCTGTGAGATTGGTTAGGCTGAAGGTGTGCATCTGGCCCAAGGCCACCCACCTAGCTTCCATGGAACGAATGGGGAACAGAATCTGGTCTCCCGGATCTAGTCTCACGCTCTCACCACCGCACCAAGCTGGCTGAAGTCTTCAGAGGGAGTGACAGATGGCCTGGGGAGATAGTGGGGCAGGGAGGAGTTTGGAAGCCTTGTCATGTAGTCTAAATCAAACAGATAGAGACACAGTTGTGGCACACCACAGACTTTATTGAAATGTAAGCCATGGTGAGGGCCACAATTGAGTGCTGGGGAGGTGGCTTGGCTGCCCCAAAGAGGGAGATGATTGGCTGAGGCAGTAGTCTTATTTACTTATTTATATTTATTAGCTTCTATGACCAAAGGTCTTAAGCTCAATTATAAATGAGGCAGTAGTCAGCATCCTGAGCTCCTCCAAGTCTAATAGGCAAGGCTGCAGTGGTGGAGGATGACTTGATTTCCAAGTTTGAGGGGCATCAATGGGCTACGCCATGTATTTTGTTGGCGTAACGTTCTGCTTCTGGCAGGAGGCATTCCCAGGCTGAAAGGGCCCAGGGAGTCAACTAACTCTGGCCTTGCCCCCCAAACTGCCCACAGCCATGCCAGTGCAGGGGCCGACACCTCAGTTGTGCAAATGTGTGGCTGCTGCACTCTGCTGCTAGCGCCAGCAAGTGACATGGTGGCACTGGAGCCCTGTGCCATCGTAAGTGGCCCTTAAGCGGGCATTTCTCACAGACACAGAGGTCATTTCGATCCCTGAACACTTTCAGCCCACCTCTAGGATTGCTCTGTTAGATTACTTAATAATGGATATAATTTTCAGACCGCTATTTTGAAATATCATCTACGTAGCTTCAAAAATAGTACCCATGTCTTAAATTCTGAAAGTGATTGGCTTTAGATTTTGAAAGATAATAGACAAGAATTGATAAGAACTGGCTTTGATCTCTCCCCCACCTTCAGAACAAGAGGTTAATGATGGATTATTATTGCTTATGGATAAATTTGATCATATTGCTCTTTTATTGATTTCACTTCAGGAGCTTTCTACTGCAATGTGTCAGAAGTGGCTTGAGTTCCAAGAAGAAGTGACTAAAGAGAAGCAAATTTTAGAGAGAGAACTAAGAGAAACTATGGATGAGCTGGATAAACTGCACACTAAAGAAGGCAAAGTACAGAAGATGTTGAAGCACCAGGAAGAAGAGTATAAGTCTCAGACTGAGGAGCTAGTAAAGCTGCAAGCAAAACTGCAAGGGTTTGTGATAGACCGTAACTTGCACACAATCTCTCTTGCTGATAGTAAATTAGTAATTTTGTAAATCTGGGTTGTATCCCTTCAGATTGATTCCATGTGATGGAATGCTCCCCACAAAAATTAAAAATGGTATACACAAGAAACCCGAAATTTTGGGTGGAAGCCTATGATACAGTCATTTCACCTTAACATCTAGCTTCCTGCATGCAGCGAATCTTTGTTTAAAGACTCGGCAAAGAACATTCAGTTGCATGAGCACTATCCACAGACTGAAGTGGGGTGAAGACAGTTTACAGAAAAGTGGAATTATTGTTTGTTACCTACAAATGAGTGTGTATTATGAATAATGAATATAATAGGTTATGAGCAGAAACTCACACAACTTGTGATTTATTAATATTTGGTGCACAAATTTTATATCTTGAGTTTCTTAATTTTCCATTTGGATTGTACTACTGAATTATAGATAGCTATATTTATTGTGTGTGTAAATTGTTGTCAACTTGCAGCCGATTTATTGCAAGCTTGTAGGGTTTTCAAGGTAGGAGACTAACAGAGGTGGTTTGCCATTGCCTTCCTGGAACTCCTTGGTGGTCTCCAATCCAAATACTAACCCAGGTTAAGCCAATCCTGCTTAGGTTCCCAGATCTGACATTAATAATAAAAGCTTTATACTTAAATATATGAATATTTCCTTTCATGCTATGTATTTACTATTCTCTCTCTCTCTGCAAGACATGCAGTTGGCATGTACTATCCTTTTAGGGACCCACAAGAACTTTGCAGGATGGTTATCCCATTTTTCACACATTTGCTTCCTCCCTTCTCCTACCTCTCTCACACTCTCCTGCCCCCCTTTTCTTACTCTCTCCTTCACGCATGTTACTTCCTCTCTCTTTCTGCCCCCTCATCATTCTTTGTTTTTCTGCCTCCCCTCCATCACTGTCTGCCCCATCACTCTCCCAGCCTGCTTCCTCACCCACCCTGCGCAGCAGCAGTGGTGGTGCTCTCAGCCATCCACCTGCTTCCTCTTCCCCCACAGCAGCAGTGGCAGCTCTCCGGGAATCACAACAGATCTCCCAGCTACAAAGATCTATTCACCTTGGGGCTGCCAGCTCCAGGTTGGGAAATTCCTGGAGATTTGGGGGTAGAGCCTTGGGACAGTGAGGCTTGGGGAGGGAAGCAGCCTCAGCAGGGTATAATGCTATAGACTCAACCTTCTAAAGCAGCCATTTTATCCAGGGGAAAGGATCTCTGTCACCTGGGCAGCAGTTGTAATTCTGGGTGATCTCCGGCCCTCCCCTGGAGGCTGGCAATGGTAGTTTTCATAGAGGAAATGTTTGGTTTGGAGGGTGAAGTCTATCGCATTACCCCTCCTCAAACCCCACCCTCCCCAGGCTCTACCTCTCAAATGTCCGGGAATTTCCCAACCTGGAGTTGGCAACCCTATTTCCTTCCTACCCAACAGCCAACCTACTTTTACCTGCATCTCTGTCTCCACCCTCCTCACCAACAGTCTCTACCTAGGAAAATTACAGTCTTTCTCCACAGTGGAGACCAAAGCAGCTTACATATTCTCTCCTCCTTTTTATCTGCACAACAGCCTTGTGAGGTTGGTTAGGCTGAAAGCTTGTGACTGGCCCCAAATCACCCAGTCAGCTTCCACCACGAGATGAGGATCTGAATCTGGGTCTTGCAGGGTTGCCATCCTCCAGGTGGGACCTAGAGACTCCTCCAGAATTACAACTGAACTCTAGATAGCAGAGATCTGTCTCGCTGGAAAAAATGGCTGTTTTGGACGGCTGGACTCTGTGGCATTCTATCCAGCTGAGGCATCTCCCTTCCCCAAACCCAGCCCTCCTTAGACTCCACCACAAAATCTCTAGGAATTTCCCAGCCTGGCACTGGCAACTCTTGTCAGTCCTGTCCCTAAGGATTCCTCCCTGAAAGGTCAAAATAGGCCTGGAAAGGGTCCTGCCCCTTTCCCCTGCCTTTTACTGACAGAACCAGTTAGAAGCCCCCCCAAAAAAAAGTTTTAAGGGGACAATGGATCCCACAGCAAAAGAGGTAGGGGTGAGAAGCTCAGATTATTTAGTCATTCATAATGCAGGAGGAATTCTCCCCAATCCCAGCTCCAGTACTGCTTTTTCTTCCTCCCCTTTCTTTCTCTGTCTCTCTGGGTATCAGCCAGTCTGTCTCTCACTGTTGATGTGGCAGGGCCTGGAGTAGATCTCTGTGGTGGCCATTTCAAAAGGTATGGGGGGGATTCAACCCTCTCCAAGGGGTTTTTTGGTAGTTGGGTTTTAAAAAAAACAAAAACTTTTGGGATTTTTCTGCAGACCCATGGAGCCCCCTGAGTCTGTAGAAAAGCCTGTTAGAGGAGATTATGCCTTCTGTTTGCGGAAATAAGTATCCACATGCTGAGGGGACTGTTAAGAATTAGATACATAGATATTTCTTTTAAAAATCTTCATGCTGTACTCCTATCCTCTGTTCGTATTGATACCAGCAAGTATTTACGTAGTGCCTAAAAGGCTTGATTTTAGGAATGGCTTGTATATCATACAACAAGCATCTAAATGCAGATAAATAGCATGCATATCAATTTCTTTTTTTATTATAATGAAAGAAGAATGTGGCCTTTAAACCTGGAAGGACTGTATGGGATCCAGAGGCCAGCACTAGGAAGCATTAACTTTTAGAACCAAAACAAATAGTCATCTGTTGGCTCTTAAACTTAATTAATGTTGCCTTTTTCTCCTTCCCTTAGGAAAAACACAGAGTTGGAGAAAATGGCTCAGGCACACAGAAATGCTATTGTACAGATAAAAGAGGAGCACAGCAACACACTGTGCAAACTTGGAGAGAACATTGCTGAATTTGAAATGTATGTAAGGCTTTGCATAGTAAATAACAGATTAAACTTCTGTTTCGTTCTTCCATGAATAGCATACTTGGCAATCAGCTACGTACCCTTTGACTACTGCAGAATCATCATATTTGGATATCTTGATAACCTGTAGCACTTTACAAAGACTAATTCCATAAGCCTCATCTCCTCTCAAAGCTTCCTTGTTTTAGATAGCAAAGTTTTTGTTTGCTTGAAGTCTGGGGGAGTGTTTGTGACAGGAGTTGCCTCTACTCAGAAGTGGGACAGAAACCTTATTTTTGTAGCACTTTGTTTAAATGGTTTACATGGTTTGAATGGCAAAGTTTTGCAAACCAAGAAAAGGGAAGGGGATTGGGAGGACAGAAAATGACACGTTATATGAAGTTACAGCAAGGCATCTTTTTGTATGAGTAAACAATTCCTAAAAGTATGTCTTAAACCAATTTGTAGTACCTTTTGTTCCTGGCAATTGAAATAATCCAGACTTTCCTTCATACTGGAGAGGGCTGAAAACATCAATTAGACTTGGGTTACCTCAGGGATAGTTGACACATGGTAAAATCTTGGAGGGGGGGCGATGCCTTGGGGGGCTGCTCCAATGCTGGGGCCATCCAAGTACCAAATATGGGGCAGTCCTTGTCCCATACAAGGCAGATGGGAGCCACTATAGCCCAGCAGCCCCTGCCTTGTGTGGGGTGGGTGCAAGTGGGGGGAGGGCACAAGCCAGCAGCCTCTACACAGAGCAGGCAGACATCTGCTTCTCACTCTGTCGGGTGTGAGCCAGGACTTTTTTCCAGGGCCATTTTTGCCTCCCAGTCCAGCTGTGGGTCAGCTAGTGGTATAGTTGTGTTGTACTCACATGCCAGGCTGCATCTGTTGTTAGAACAGGGATGTTGAACTCATTTGTTATGAGGGCCAGATCTGAAATAAATGAGACTTTGTTGGGCCGGGCCATGTGTGTCATAAAATGTAATGCCAGGGAGTGGAGATATAAACTTTATAAAGGACACAGACAAACACAATTAAAGATTTTTTAAACTTTAAATAAAACGTGTTTAAAACACTAGCACTGTTGCAAAATTTTGTCTATGTAACACTCTCTGATAACTGACACTTCTGCTCTGAATTATTGCATCAAAATGTCTGTGCGGTAGCAGTCTTGAGTATGCTGTTCAGGTGTGTATCTGTAAGCTGCAAACCTAATTTTGATTTATTGGCATTTATTACAAAAATCTCATGCTCAGTGTTCCAAGCCTAGGTGGTTGTTCAGTCGCACAGTTAAGTCTGACTCTTTATGACCCCATGGACCACATCACGCCAGGCCCTCCTGTCCTCCGTTGTCCTCCGGAGTTTGCTTAATCTCATGTTCGTTGCATCTATGACACTGTCTAACCATCTCATCCTTTGCCGTCCCCTTCTTTTACCTTCAATCTTTCCCAGCATCAGGGTCTTCTCCAGTGAGTGCTCCCTTCTCATTTAGTGGCCAAAGTATTTGAGCTTCAGCTTTAGTATCTTGCCTTCCAGGGAACAATCAGGGTTGATTTGTTTTAGGATTGACTGATTTGATCTCCTTGCAGTCCAAAGGACTCTCAAGAGGCTTCTCCAACACCATAGTTCAAAAGAATCTACTCTTTGGCGCTCGGCCTTCCTTATAGTCCAACTCTCGCAGCCATACATGACTACTGGGAATACCATTGCTTTGACCATGCGGACTTTTGTTGGCAGGGTGATGTCTCTACTTTCTATCATGCTGTTTAGGTGGGTAGTGAAGGGCGAGGTATAAATCCAATCTCTTCTTCTCTTCTTCTTCTAATACACTTTGGGTCTCCATTGGAGAGAAAGGTGGGGTATGAATAAATAAAATAAACTGGCTCCACAATTATGAAAATGCACAGACATGTGGAACCACCAATCCTTGTCGTACTCCTTTTCCTATGCTAAACCAATCAGTTGTTTCATATCCGGTTCTAACTGTCGCTTCTTGACCCTTATACAGGTTTCTCAAGAGACATGTGAGGTGGTCTGGTACTCCCATCTCTTTAAGGACCTGCCATAGTTTGTTGTGATCCACACAGTCAAAGGCTTTAGCATAGTCAATGAAGCAGAAGTAGATGTTTTTCTGGTACTCTCTTGCTTTCTCCATAATCCAGTGAATGTTGGCAATTTGATCTCTAGTTCCTCTACCTCTTCGAAACCCAGCTTGTACTTCTGGCAGTTCTCTATCCACGTACTGTTGAAGCCTAGCTTGTAGGATCTTGAGCATGACCTTGTTAGCATGTGATATGAGTGCAATTGTGCGATAGTTTGAACATTCCTTGGCATTGCCCTTCTTTGGGATTGGAATGTATACTGACCTTCTCCAATCCTGTGGCCACTGTTGTGTTTTCCATATTTGCTGGCAAATTGAGTGCAGCACTTTAACAGCATCATCTTTTAAGACTTTGAATAGCTGGGATACCATCACCTCCACTAGCTTTGTTGTTAGTAATGCTTTCTAAGGCCCATTTAACTTCACATTCCAGGATATTTGGCTCGAGGACAGTGATTACACCGTCGTGGTTGTCAAGGACGTCGAGGTCTTTCTTGTATAGTTCTTCTGTGTATTCTTGCCATCTTTTCCTAATCTCTTCTGCTTCTGTTAGGTCCCTACCGTTTTTGTCCTTTATCATGGCCAGCTTTGCATGGAACGCTCCCTTGATTTCTCCAATTTTCTTGAAGAGATCTCTAGTCCTTCCCATTCTATTGTTTTCCTCTATTACTTTGCACTGTTCCTTCAGGAAGGCCTCCTTATCTCTCCTTGCTGTTCTCTGGAAATCTGCATTCAGTTGGGTAAATCTTTCCTTTTTGCCTTTGCCTTTCGCTTTCCTTCTTTCCTCTGCTATTTGTAAAGCCTCATCAGACAGCCACTTTGCTTTCTTGCCTTTCTTTTTCTTTGGGATGGTGGTGATTGCTGCCTCCTGTACAATGTCACAAACCTCTGTCCATAGTTCTTCAGGCACTCTATGAAATCTAGACCCTTGGATCTATTCTTCACCTCTACTGTATATTCATCAGGGATGCGATCTAGATCTAAGTTGGTAGTTACAACTAAAACAGAAATTCAGCTGGCTATAGAGGGTTCTGGCCTGTTGATATGGATGGAATAATGGCCAGCTATCAGAGGGCAACCTCAGGGAGGCCATGTATGGGTAGCTGCTATCTCAGCAAAAGGCCTGGCGGAACAGCTCCATCTTGTAGGCCCTGCAGAACTGAAGAGATTCAGCAGGGCCCTGAGCTCAGTAGGGAGCATGTTCCACCAGGCTGGGCCCAGGGCAGAGAAAGCCCTGGCCTTGGTTGAGGCAAGACGGATGTCCCTCAGGCCAGGGACCACAAGGAGATGTTGATCTTTAGAGCGTAGCGCTCTCTGGGGCGTATATGGGAAGAGGTGGTCCCTTAGATTTGTTAGACCTTGACTGTGTAAGGCTTTGAAGGTCATTACCAACACCTTGAAGCGAATCCGGTGCTCATCTGGCAGCCAATGCAGTTGGTGGAGCACAAGCCGAATGTGAGCCCACACAGGCGTTGACATCAGCAAGTGTACTGCTGCCTTTTGCACCAGTTGAAATTTCCAGGTCAGCCTCAGAGGCAAGCCTGCATAGAGTGAGTTGCAGTAATCAAGAGGCAGAAATCAAACTTATGGGATTTTATTGTAACCTAATAAATTATTTCTCCTGGTTCACTCTTCAGAAGATAAACTTTCCCCTGGTCTCTATTTAGGATTCCTAGTGACCTTTTAACAGACTGATCTAGCCTGATCCTTTTGTTTTCTCATGAATATAGAAAGACTAAATTTGAAGTGTGCTTTTCTCCCAGCAACCTGACTTCATTAGCCTGTCCAGTAGCAGACTCTGAGACCTTGGGTTTTCCATAGAACACCCCTGGCATTTAATATCTGACTGAAAACAGCAGTTGAACAGATTCTTTTACCGTCAACTCCTCCTTCCCATCTAGTTCCTCCGAAGTTCCATTGGCCCTGGTTGGCTGTTACTTATTCTGCAAACACTTCAACTGGGGATTGGTTGCATATAAAAAGGGGTAGGGCTGTTGTCAATCAGAACCTTACCCAGAGAATATGAATGCATATGGTAAAAAGATTATGGAGATTTGATTAAGAGAGAAGTTATATTTCATTGTCTCAAGAAAGCCCAGAGGAATGTGAATGGGGACAGAGTTGAGTTGTTAGAGAGGGATGGACTGCTCAAGTAGAGGATGTAGCATAGCATAAGGAAGCTGAGAAAGAACTGAAAGAAGATCAAATTCCCACATTTCTAGGTAGAGAAATACTAAAGCACAACAGTCTCAACTAGGAATGAATGTATTGTCATTCTCCTCAGTTACAAAGCTCGTGTGTCGGAAGAAATGATATGCCTCAGACAGGAGAAAACTGCTTTGCAGGACCAGTTAGCTGAAGTGAACAAAGCAGCTCTGCAGACAGCTCAAGCGATGCAAGAGGTACAGCGTGCTAAAGAAAAGGCAAAGGAGGAATATGCAAGGTATGGCTGGTGCTCAGAGCTATCTTCTGTTGGTTTATTAAAAACATTTATACCCCACCATTCCTCTTGGCTCAAGGTGAGGTAGACCTTGATAATACAAAAAGTATACACAGTGCTAGATGATATTTTAATGTGTCTTTTCTGACTGCTTAGGTCAGGCTGAATGGTTGTTTCATTAATTTAATTCCTTCAATGATATCCCCTTATGACAAAGATCTGGCTCAAACTTACTAGTTAATTTAAACAGTGCAAGCTGCCTAAGGAACACAAGGTGTGCATGAACAATCTTGATTCTTAGCCTACTCAAGGCGCTTGGTGGGAATCAAAAGTTCATCTTGCCCATAGAGGTCTATTTTATATTCTGTGAGTTGCAAACTGAAGGCAGTCCTATGGAACTAGAAATCTGTTGCCACAAAAATACATAAAGCTATAAAGAGAACTTGCGATTTTTCCTAAAAAAATGCATTTCATGTATATTTGGATGTTGGCAAAATCATTGCATGGAAATGTGCCCTCCCAGGATGCTGCTGGATGCCCAGACCAAATTAGCATTAAAGGATGAAGAAATTAAAAGAATAAAAGAATCAAACATTGCACAGATTGCCAATATAGAAGCAAGACTAGAAGATCAAAAGGAAGACTTCAAGAAGCAACTGGAATTGGAAAGGTGAGGCTTAACTAGTGATAGTGTGGGTCTTCAAAGATCAAAGAACATAGCGAGAACATAGTTAATTAAAACAAATGATGATATTTAGGAAAACTATTTTAAGCTTTTTAATTTTTTTAGGGAAACCATAGCAGAAAAAGCAGAAGCTGATTACAGAGAGAATGTAAAAACCTGGCGTATCCTATATGAAGAATTGTATAATAAAGTGAAACCATTTCAGGTTAGTGAAATATGTTGAGCACACATTTTCTAATTATTAAGAAATATTAAATTGGAATGTTGACCTCTCTGGCTTTCCTGTAATGTAAGTAGCATTACATAATCTATGAGTTCCATCTGTCTTTGATGATACTTAATACAAGCAGGGAGAACTTGAAAGGCACTGAGAATTTTTTTGGTTATCACTGTGGTCCAGTAAATGTCAGTGCTCTGTTTCAGCAACAACTTGATGCATATGAGGCTGAGAAGAATGCACTTATGAATGAGCATGGTGCTGCCCAAGAAGTGCTGAACAAACTTAGTGATGCATATGCTAAGCTGCTAGGCCATCAGAATCAGAAGCAGAAAATCAAGCATGTAATGAGGCTGAAAGAAGAAAACGCACAGATGAGACAGGTTTGTGTTGATATGTGAAGCATTTTATCACCACTTGCTTAACATGGCCTTTCCATGATGGGTTTTCAAAAGGGTTTTTGTAAAGGTGCCTCATCAAAGACTCCTGAGTAAACTCAGCAGTCATGGGATAAGAAGATGGGTCCTCTTATGGGTAAATGACAGGAAGCAGAAATAGGAATATATGAACAGTTCTTCCAATGGAGGGATGTAAGCAGTGGGGTCCTACAGTGTGTTGATAAATGATCTGAAACTAGAGGTGAGCACTGTAGTAGCCAAGTTTGCAGATTACACAGAATTATTCAACATGTTGAAAACCAAGGCCAACTGTGAAGAGCTCCAGGAGGATTTCCACAAATTGGGTGAGTGGGCAACGGCGTGGCAAATAAAGTTCAGTGTACGTGAGTGTAAGGTTATGCAAGTTGGAACAAAAAATTCCAGTGTTAAGTATATGATAATAGGGTCTGAGCTTCCTTAGACTGAGAGAGAAAGAGACCTTGGGAGTCATAGTTAATAACTCAATGAGTGTTAACACATTGTGCTGTAGCAGTGAAAAAGGCAAACTGTGCTGCAGATTATTAGTCAAAGGACTGAAAATAAAACAGCCAATATTATTGTGCCCCTGTATAGATCTATGGTGCAACCACATTTGGAATAATGTAACTGTACACAGTTCTGGTCACTATCTGAAAAAGAACATTGCAGAGCTGGAAAGAGTACAGAAGAAGTTGAGAAGATTAAGGCCTTATAGTACTGTCCGTATGAGGAAAAGCTGAGTAGTTGGGGACTTTCCAGTTTAGAAAAGAGATGAACCGGGGGGGGGGGGGGGAGATGTAAGAGGAGCTTATAAAATTATGTGTAGAAACTTTTTCTCCCTCTCCCAATATACTAATACTCAGGTACACACAGTGAAGATGATGGGGAGTAGACTCAGGATGGGGGAAAAAGTAAATATTTCTTTATTCAACAAGTGATTAGAATGTGGAATTTGCTGCCAGAGGATCTAATGATGGCTTTAAAAGGGGATTAGACAGATTCATGGAGGATAGTGGCTACTACCCATGGAGGATAGTGGCTACTACCCATAATGACTGATAGGAACCTCCACATTCAGCAGCAGTGAACCTCTGGATACTAGTACCAGAAGATAAAATAAGGGAAAGCCTTGGCCTCTATGCCCTGTTGTTGGCCATTCAGAGTAACTGGTTGGCCACCGCATGAGACAGGACACTGGTCTAGATGGACTACTGGTCTGATCCAGCAGGGCATGTACTAACATCTTCCTAGGTTCTTAATTAAAAAGCTTGCATTAAGATGCTGGGGACAGGGTTCAAGCAACTTCCCGAAGTTGTCTGCTACAATGGCAGTAAATTTTGTTCTGCTCATTGTTCAAAAGTTTTTAACCATTTCATCGGATTACAGAGTTTTTGACTGTAATGCCTACTACTGGATTAAAAAGTATATAATCAGTTAATGCTGTGAGGAAGAGGTTAGATGCACTAATGTTTTATACTTTCTGATATTTAACTCACTGATCTAGTCTGTCTCTTTTTATTTAAAAAAACAAGAACACGGGGCTTAGAATTTCATACTGAAAGATTAGATAATCCAGAATCTCTACAAAGAAAATTCTGCCTCTATGAGCTAAGCTCATAGGTAGGAAAGGTAGTTGTGGTAGGAAAGGTAGTAACAGGACTTATAAGAGAAGGATGAGGAAAAACAGAAAGGAATCCACATTTGGTGTGTTTAAAACTGACTAAATCCTTGTTCACAAATTGTATGCATTTTGTTTAGGATTCAGAATACTTCCTAGCATCCTATATTACAAAGTACAAAACTAGGATGGTGCTTTGAGATCTCAAAGCTAGCATGGTTTAATAAGCTTTCAGCCAGTGAACTTCTGCACAAACAGCTGCTTAATAAATGAATTCAAACTGGTGTTCCTGGTTTATTTTCAGATGAATAGGATAAAGCAGATTTTTGTTTGGGGCACCTTTCTGTTATGTTTATATGGAGTTTAAGTCAAAGTCTTTTTTTCCTTTAGGAGGTATCAAGGCTGCGTACTCAGTTAGCAAAGGAAAAACAAATGAAAGGAGACCTCCAAGAACAACTGAATGCAGTTCAGGGTATCAAGCGATTTGATCCTTCAATAGCTTTTCAGCATTCCACTAAGGAAAACATTGATCACAAAACACCTTTTAAAGAAAGTGAGTAAGCCTACAAATACTTCATAAATGGGGGTGTTTTCCTTGCTTTAATGTTCCTTCAAAAGTGTCCCCACAGCTAACATAAAGGGACACATGCTTTTCAGGCAACTTACTGTAGTCTTTTTTTTTTTGTAACAGGTAATAGAAACAAAAGTTAAAGTGCTCTGTGCTGAACTGGAACCAACCCACTTGGAGTGCTATTATATAGGCTTCAAGACTCATTACTTGAGAAGAAAGTTTGCCTTGTTGTAGTACTGCATTGTATCTGAGCTTGGAAGTACATATATGAAGATTTCCATGTTCAGCTGACTGGTGTGCCTTTCCTAAAGAAGCTTTAAAAAAACAATCCAGTCAGTAAAGCAAACCAATCACAACTGTCCTGGTTTTTTGAATGTTTTCTGGGGGGGGGGGGTGTTAGTAGCAGGGACCAGTGGAAATCTTTGTCGCAGTCTGATTTTGCTGATGTTAAATACTGAAAGTATTCAACAGGCTTGTCATATCCTTAGTAAATGAAGAGTAGTGTACATGGGATTTTTAATTACAAAGCACAGATTAATCTTTTCACTGACATCTTACTTTTTGTTATGTTATCTAAAACTAGCTCTAGCCTGTAGTTCTATGTTAGATTACTTAGCTTAGATACTACTAACATAAGTCAAATAAAACTTTTAAAATGTGTGATTAAAGCATGAACTGAGGTGAAAGACTGGTAATTTTTATGGACTTTTAAAATACTGAAAATACTACAGTGCTCCAGTTCTTATCTGTGAAGGAGACTGACTGCATACCTTTTCTCCCCACCCCATTTTATAGGGAAAGGAGAGTTGCATGGCAGTTCTATCTAGTCAAGGGGTCTTCGATACTGTTCTGTGGTGGTTATAGTCCAAAGCAGGTTTCAGAAGGTGGTGCTGGGTGTCTGCTGCTCAGCCCCTTAGCCTGTGGGGTCACACAAGGTTCCATCTTGTCTCCTACGCTCTTTAAAATCTACAGGAAGACGCTGGGAGAGGTCATCAGGAGGTTTGGGCTGGGTTGTCAACAATATGTAGATGACACTCAGCTCTGTCTCGGGCTTCCAGCTGATCCCGGGGAGGCTGTAGAAATCCTGAACTGGTGCCTGGAGGCGGTTTTAGAACGAATATGGTCTAATAAACTGAAGCTTAGTCCTGAAAAGATGGAAGTGCTACTAATGGATGGAAGGTCTGATCCAGGATTTAAGAACTCACCTTTTCTGAATGGATTTGCACACCCCTTGAAGGAACAGGTCCATAGCCTGGGGGAGCTCTTGAACCCAAGCCTACTGGTGGATAAGCAAATGGCAGCTGGGACCAGGAGTACCTTTTTGCTGTATGTAGGGGTGAAAACTTGTTTCTGGAAGAGGGCATTTCTACCCACTGCTGTAATACCCTGAAAGAGGAACAGTCACAATAACACTGTCATTGAGATCCTGAGAACTTGGGAGAGAGTACTGAAAGATCCATTCACCATCTATGTGTGTCTATAGTCTAAAATCTGATTCGATAGATGTTTTAATCTGCCTTGAGTCCCCCCATGTGGTAGAAGTGTGCGGTAAAAATCTTGCTTATCAATTATTTATCCTACAATAGCTTTAGTATTTGGGGTTTCTTAAAAGGCAAGGGGGGTGCTATTATCACTGGAACAACTGCTAACAGGTTAAGAGTTTCTAATAAAAGTACAGTTGATGCAGCTGATATTGTCGCTGACTTGCATCCTCTATAGTTTGCGTGTCCTTCCATTTTTAAAGCCAGTTATGTTATTGAATGCTTTCCAGGTGTGGGTTCTCACAGAGACTACTGGCCTTCTAGATGTATGGGCTGTTATGTCCTTGTATGCGGCTGTATGTAAGGTGCTGTCTCCCATTGAGCTAGAGGAAAGGTTCTTGAGTAGAATTCAGCCTCAAGTGCTGGGACAACAGTTTGCCTAGTTACTTACAGTTTTTTTGTGTGTATGGCACAACTGGGTTCTTGTTAAAAGAATTTTAAAGTACTTTATCCACTGCCTCACTCAAAGAAAGGGAGAGGTGAGAGAAACCAAAATAGGAGCACAGCAGCTCAAGGCTTTTCAGAATGGGCCCCCCAGAACTGAGAACAGAACATCTCCCCAGGATAGGTGGAGTAGGCTTACCAAATGCCGGCGGGGGATCTGCAGTCCCGTTGCCAGAGCGACGCGTAGCGTCACATCCTGACGACGGCAGGTGCACCGCGTATCGCCGTCCCCCGCGGCAGGGATCCTGTAAAGAGCTGCAGATCCCCCGCCGGCATTTGGTAAGCCTAAGGTGGAGAGAGAAACTCTTCTTGTCTTTAGAACACAACTACCATGGTGTACAATTCAAAATGTGAGCTTTCATGTGCATGCACACTTTGTCAGACGATGAAATGGAATATATAGGGGTGGCTTGTTAAATTAGCATGCAAAATAGTGAAAATATTTTAAACAGATCAAAAGAATGACATGCTTAGTTTCTGGTTATCTGTTTCGGTTCAACTGGGGGGGGGCACAACATAGGTAATAAATCTCTCCCATATAATAAAGCTGTTTTGGACACGCTCCCAGTCTTTGGCCCGCTCGCCTGCCACTCTTGCGGACTCCCAATCCCCTGGCTGCATTGCCTCGCTGCGTTGGCTTGGCCTCGCCCACAGAGCCGGCAGCCAGCATCTCACTCTCAGTCTGGAGGGAGCTGGCGAAAGGGATGGATGCTCCACCGAGGGAGCAGCAACCCTTCCATGGAGGAGAAGGAGGCAGACCTAGCGAGTGCCCTCCACAGGATCCACCCCCCAAATCTCCAGGTATTTCCCTAATCAGAGCTGCCAACTGTACTTTCTCCTCAGTGCCTGTTGCCAGGCAACCAGGTTCTGTCAGTAAAAGGCCCTTTCCACACCCATTTTGGTCTTTGGCAGAAAACTCATTGGGGCCAGTCCTGATAGAGTTGCCAACTCCAGGTGGGAAATTCCTGGAGATTTGAGGAATGGAGCCTGGAGAGGATGAGGAGGGGTGGGACTTCAGACAGGTACAATGCCATAGACTCCACCCTCCAAACCAGCCATTCCCTTATGGGGAACCATTTTTGCCAGTCTCCAGGGGAGGGATGGAGATCATGCAGAATTACAACTGCTCTTCAGATGGCAGAGATCAGTTCCTCTGGAGAAAATGGTGGACTCTGTGTCATTATACCCTGCTGAGGTCGCCACAGCAAATTGACACTGAGTGCCCAAGGCTGGGGCACTCTCCCAGAGCCTTTTTCTAGAGCTTGTTGTATTTATTTCCACAATGGGCCTTATTATCAATGGAGATTGATGTGTCCTAATTTGTGAAAATCCCGTCCTTAGACCCCCATCCATCTCCTTTCATCTTGGCTGTGCAGAGTATGGTATGGCTCCAAATTCACAGAGCATTCACAACTTAGTATATACACTATGAAAAAGCCTGGGAATTGGTTAAGGAGGAGACAGTTTGCCTTCTACTTGGTAATTAACCCGTATCATCACTTCCAGTTCTGTAGTAAAAGGGCTACCCAGTGTGGTGTAGGTACCAGAGAGTGAGGAGGTCCTCTGGGGTCTGAAAATGGTGGGTGTCTGGTTGCTAAATCAAATGGTTAAATCAAAATGGTGGGTCTCTGGTTTCTAAAATTTGAGAAGCGCTGCCTTAAAACCTACCATACAGGATTATGAGGGGGGGAAAGTAGCGAACGATGGAAACCATTTTAGACCTTGACTGGGGAGAAAAATGCAGTATATATCAAGTAAATAATCTCTAAAAGAGAAGAATTTGCTTCTGTTCCCCCACTGCCTAATTAAGGGGCTTCTATCCTCAGCTGTCCTGCCAACCTAGCAGTTCGAAAGCAAGAAATTGCAAGTAGATAAATAGGTACCACTTTGGTGGGAAGGTAACAGCGTTCTGTGCGCCTTGGTGTTTAGTCATGCCAGCCACATGACCACGAAAATGTCTTCGGACAGTGCTGGCTCTTCGGCTTTGAAACAGAGATGAGCACCGCAACCCTAGAGTCGGATTCAACTGGCTTTCGAGCAAGGGAAACCTTTACCTTTACTATCCTCAGCTGAGAAGGGATGATGGTAAGGGGCCTTTTTCTTACCGTCCCAGCATCCTGTTGTGTATGCAACTTTTCTGAGATATGTAAACTGTGGAAACCAATATGAGGTAACCCCCACAACATCAAATGTATAGATCAGGATCCTTCTAATTATAATTGTTTATGACCAGTTAAATGCATGATCAACAGTTGGACAAATTGCTTTATCTGAATTATATTATCTTATATTGTGAACTGATAGCTTTGTACAATATGTTTATTGTTGTTGAACTTGCCCTGTGTATTGCAGCTAGATGTATTTGATGATGGTGACATTTTAGCTAAGAAGCTTACAACACACTTGATTAAACTAAATTAACCTGAATCAATAAGCTACCTTAAGAAGACAAATTATTCATCGATCTTCTGTGCAGTCCCATATGGGGACTGCACATGAGCAGGCCTGCCATTGGAGAGGTTTTATCATACTCAGACACTATGCTTGGTTAAGATCAATGGCGTTGCCTGTAGAGACGAAGCACAAGCCTGAGGACTTACCTTTCAAGAGTTCGACACTCTTTGCAGATTTTTGATTTATTTAAAGCAGATAATTAAAAAAAATGGATTTAGGGAAGAAAAAAATGAAAAAAAGGTATTTTGGAGTTAAAAGGGAAAAAATGATATCACATTTATATAAGGTTTTGTTAAAATGGTTTACAGAGGATGAATCAGTAAAAGAGCAAATGATTAAATGGGCTGTTAATATCAATAAGGAGGTGACAATGTCATCTTGGGAATATTTATGGAAAAATTCAATTAAGATATTGACTTGTACTAATGTGGAAGAAAATTGTTATAAAATGATGTACAGGTGGTATATGACACCAAAAAAAATTGCACTTATGAATGAAAATATCTAACAAATGTTGGAAGTGTAAAAAAAAAGAAGGCTCTTTTTACCATATGTGGTGGACTTGTGATAAAGCTATGGCATTTTGGACAGAAGTTCATGATGAAATGCAGAAAATTTTGAAATGTACTTTTTAAAAAGAACCTGAGATATTACTTCTAGGGCTTAAGATGGAAGAACTAAATGTAACAAAAAAGACACTGTTGTGGTATCTGATTAGTACTGCCAGAATGAC